CGACCCCCAATCGCCCATTGATCGCCCATAGGGGCCCGATAGCCCCAACCTGCCCAGGGAGGTGCGGATTTTCTATCGGAGGCCTATCGCCGATCTATCGACGATGTATCGCCGATTCCAGGTCGATGCATCCCCCCCTATGCCCCCCCCCCCCCTATCGTTGCCCCTCACCTAGCCCCCCTGGGCCGGGGGCCCGTTTTCGGCACCGAAGGCGCTCCAAGACCCACGATGGCTTCAGATGTCCCGAGTGGCCTGTATGACGACCCGAGAGCGCCCCAAGATCGTTTCAAGACCGACCAATCCAGTTTCAAGACCGCCCAGAGCTCCTCAGAAAGCGCAATACTGCCCCAAGAGGCCCCTCGAGACAGCCGCAAGAGGCCGAAGTCGCTCCATTCCGTTCGGGAACGTGCGTACTTGGCATTTTCGCCGTGTTTTGTTTCAGCCGCGTCCATCACGGCGCGGAGGGCCCCCCAAACTGCCCCCCAAAGGGCAAGCGGGGCCCCCACAGAGGCCCCGAGACGGGCCAAGAGGGCCCCAATGGGGTACCCGAACGGAGGAGCTCGAATCGGCATCTCCAGCCCTCGGCCCCAAGAAGGCCGGCCGCCGCATCCGCCGGCAGACCGGCCAGAAGCGCCCAAGAGGCCCCGAGATGCCCCCACTGGTCGAGGCCGAAGTGCGGTCCCCAGAGCCCCCCAAGCGCCCCCCAAGGGAGGAGGGACGAGGGCGGCTGGTCTTGGAAAGCGAGTCCAAAATGAACCAGGCATACACAAGAGATCAACAACCTTGCCCAAAAGCTGCATTGGCAATGCAGAGGTGAGGAACTGAACGCATCATTGTTTCGTTTGGCCAGCTTTGCGATGAGGTTGCGGGAACCCGATTCTAACAGCGATGAGAAAAAAAACGCCCCCCAAGAGGGCCCGCAATACACTCCCAAGAGGGCCTCACGGTCCCAACGTCTCCGATGTTCCAGCCTCTGCGCGCGCCAGCCAGGCTCCCAAAAGTGCCCTCAAAGATCGCCCACACAACCATTGAGGTGCCCCCAAGATGCATTCGTGAGGCCCCCATACCGTGGTCCTAATATGACCCCGGCATGGCCCACAAAACGTTTAATAAGCCGATGGCCCATACAGTGGAGACGATTGAAAGCAGGTCCGGGACTTGATTTGAAAAGTGGTTTGATTCTATTTGAGCAGGCCCAGGGACCTGCTCGACGAAGAACACGAAACATGATACCTTTCCAGAGGCCTTCGGCGTGCCCGTTCGGCGCGCCCAATGTTGCTCCTAATCGCTGTCCATGGGAAGCCTCTTGGGGGCCTGTTGGGGCATCTTCAAGGCCTGTGGGCGGCCTCGGGGGTCATCTTAGGGCGCAAGGCTCGCAATGTCGCTGTCTTCATGAGCCTCGCTGGCCATCTTGTGTCCCTCTTGAGCGGTCTGGGGGCCTTTGGGGCCGTCGTGGCCCTCTCCTGGGGGTCTCCGGGAAGTCGTCTTGGGCTGTCTCTGGCCGTCGGAAGCTAACGAAGGCGGCATGGTGACATGAACGCGCTTGGAACAGCGTTAGGGGCCGAACGACCCCACTCCAGGCAGCTGGAATTTTGATAAGCCGACGGCCCTGCCACACTTTCTGGACCCAGGACAGCTGGAATGGTGAGAATCCGATGCCCCTGTCACGATTTCTGGACATACGACGGCCGAAACCGAAACACAACGCCATAATGAGTCTCATTGCTGGATTTGCGAGGGCTGGTACTGAACCAGAACATTCGACCCCTCTGTAAATATTCTGGCGAGAATGATCTTTCAAGTGAAATCGAGCCAGACACCACAGTGAGTCTCAGTTCTGAACCAACTCGAACCTAAACGCAATAGTGAGTCTTATTTCAGGATTCGGAAGGGCCGACACCGACCCAAAACACCACGGTGAGCTTCGTTTCTGGGTTTGCGAGGTGTGGAACTGAGCCAGAACACCCGGCCCACGCTGTCTGGATATTCTGGCGAAAAGAAACTTTCAATTGAAATCAGGCCAGAACACGTTAGTGAGTCTCATGTCTGGACCAACCGAACCAACACGCAGCAGCGAGTCTCATCTCTGGATCTGGGAGGGCCGAGACCGAGCCAGAACACCACAGCGAGCTTCACGTCTGGACCAGATCGAGCCAGAACGCCAGCGTGAGCTCCAGTTCTGGATCGGTAGGAGCCGAAATCAGGCCAGAGCACCGTAGCGAGCCGATTTTGAATAGCCGCCAGGCCAGTGAGACGCCTCCCCCCGGCCCCCCCTTGTGGAGATCCGGGCGGCAGTTGCTCGAGCCAGAGCACCACAGTGAGTCTCCTGGCGGGACCAGGTCGAGCCAGAACACCACAGCGAGCTCTGCCAGGCCGCTCTGCCAGGCCGCCGCCAGGCCTGGGAGACGCCTCCCTCCTGTCCCCTTCTGTGGAGATTCTGGGTGAGAGGAGATTCAAGTGATCACTAGTGGAACCCTTTGGCGAAACGCTCTCAGGGACAAATCAATGTTTTTGGCCTCCTCAAGGCCTCTGGGCCGTCTTGGGGGCCTTTTGGGCCGTGTTGAGGCCATCTTGAGCGCTCTTGGAGCGCTTTGGGATCGTTCCCGGGTCCCCTTAGGCCTCTCTTAGGGCTTCTTGGGGGTATCTCAGGCTGTCTGGGAGGCCTCTGAGGGCCCCGCGGTGAGGGTGTATAAAACATGCTGGCAGATCATCTGGAGGTGGCGGGCCCCAGGCCCAAGGTCCGCCAGGGTATACACAGTTGACGGGTATGTCTGTCTGTCTGTCTGTCTGTCCGTCGGTCCGTCCGTCTGTCTGTCTGTATGTATTTATGTATGTATGCATGCATGTGTGTATGTATGTGTGTGTACGAATGGGTGAAGGAAGGAACGTGTGAACGTATGGGTGTATGGATGTAAAGTTATATATATATAAATGAATGCACGGCTGCATGTATGCATGCATGTATGTCTGTATGTCTGTATGTCTGTCTGTCTGTCTGCTTGTCTGTCTGCCTGTCTGTCTGTCTGTCTGTATGTATGTATGCATGTATGTATATATGCATTCATGTATGTATGCCCGTATGTATGGATGCATGCGTGTAAGCATGCACGCATGTATATATGTAGGTCTATATGCATGTATGTATGTATGCATGTGTCTATGCATGTATGCATGTATGCATATATGTATATGTCTGTATCTTTGCATTCATGCATGCATGTATCTATTCATGTCTGCCTGTCTGTCTACCTGTCTTTATGTATATATGCATTCATGCATGCATGGTTATACGAGTGTATGTGTATATGTATGTATGTATGCATGCATGCATGCATGCATGCATGCACGTATGTATGTATGTGTGTATGTGTGCATGTGTGTATGTATACATGCATGTATGTATGCAGACAGGCAGGCAGGCAGGCAGACAGGCATGTATGCATGTATGCATGTATGCATGTATGTATGTATGTATGTATGTATGTATGTATGTGTGTATGTATGTTTGTGTGCATGCATGTGTATACATATGTGTGTGTGTTTGTACGTATGAATGTACGTATGTATGCATGCATGAATGTATGCATGCATGCATATATGTAGGTATATATGCATGTATGTATGTCTGTATGCATGTGTCTATGCATGTATGCATGTGTATGCATGTATGTTTGCATTCATGCATGCATGTGTCTATGTCTGCCTGTCTGCCTGTCTGCCTGTATGTATGTATGTACTCATTCATGTATGCATGTGTGTATGAGTGTACGTGTGTGTATGTATGTATGTATGTATGTATGTATGTATGTATGTATGTATATATGTGTGTGTGTATGTGTATGTGTATGTGTATGTGTATTGTATGTAAATGTATATGTATATGTATGTACATGTATATGTATATGTACATGTATGTATGTATGTATGCATGCATGCATGTACGTATGTATGTGTGCATGTGTGTATGTGTGTACGTATGTATGCATGCATGCATGACTGTATGTATGCAGGCAGGCAGGCCGACAGGCAGGCATGTATGCGTGTATGCTTGTGTGTATGTTTGTACGTATGTATGTGTGTTTGTATGTATGTATGTGTGTATGTGTGTATGTATGTGTGTATACATGCATGCATGCATGCATGCATATACATATATACAAATGTGTGCATGCATTTATACAAATATTGGAACATATACGCACGTATATTGTCGTATTATGTGTCCTCTGTTCCGCAGCCTCATCTCACACAGGTCTCGCGTCGGAGCTCCTGCCGTCTCGACATAGTGTTGGACTCCGGTCTTGAGAGAGAGAGGCGCCTCGGTTCGCCGTTCCGCTGTCCGCCACCACCGGTAGCCTGGCGCTGGCCGCCATGCCGGCGTGATGGCGGTGCCCGGAGGCGCTGGATTCGGCGGCGTGTTCGGCTTCGCAGCCCTGTTCCCTGGAGCTGGAGCGGTCCTGCCCGCCGCCGTGAGGACCAAGGCCAAGGCGAAGGGGGAAGCCAAGCTTGAGTCTGAGCCTCCTGGCAAGGCCGCTGGGCGGACGCTGAAGGAGGCGTCCTTGCCGAAGCCGCTGCGCCTGCTGAGCCGCCTACTGAGCCGCGGTCCTCTGCGGCCAGGACGCTGCCCATGAGCGCAGGGCCCTCAGCTGCGGCCGCCGCTGCCGGGGGAGCTCCCCATGCGGGCACCGCGGGCGGCGCTGGAGCCCGCCGCCCCCTCCGCAGAGCAGGGCTGGACCTAAGCGCTGTTTTGCTGGACTTGGGCTGTGGATTGTTTTTCGTTTCGGAAGGGAGGTACAGGAAAACAGGCAGCGCAAAACGAACACCAGCACGAAACCAAGACGAAAAACAACGTTTAGGTCCAGCCCTGCCGCAGAGGGATGGCGGGTGGCACCCCGCATGCCGCCGCGGCCAGACTACTCGCGTTCGCCGCGGCCTCCGGGGTGCCCGCGGGCGCCGTGGTGCTCGTCATGGGGCTTGGTGCCGGCGCCGCGGCCACGGGCACTCCGGCCGTCGCGGAGCTGGCCCCCCCGTTGCCTGGAGGCGGTGTTCTGGCTGCCGTCTGAGCTGGGCGCGCTGGAGTGGGCGGCCCCCCTCCTCCCCCTCGTATTCCTCCTCCTCCCACCCTCTCCTCCTCCTCCTCCTCTCTCCACCTCCTCCTCCTCCTCCTACTCCTCCCCCCTTCTCTCCTCCACCTCCCCCTCCTCCTCCTCTCCTCCTCCTCCTCCTCTCCTCCTCCTCCTCCTCTCTTCCTCCTCCTCCACCTCCTCCTCCTCCTTCCTCCTCCTCCACGCGCCCCCCTGGGCGAGCGCCTCGCGCCCGGCCGTGAGGGGGGTTCCAGCGCAGATCCAGAAATCCGCGCGGAGCGTCAAAAGTTTTTGTTTGTGGTTTTGTTTCGTCTTCTATGCCAGCTTTCAGTGGCCAGGAGGGCTCGGCGCTGACGGCTTTGGTGACGGAGGTGCGTGGCCGCCTGGTGCTGGCACGGGGTCGCTCGATGGACAGCTTTCTGGAGGTGGCGCTGTTGGCGATGCTCCTGACAGAGGTGGGCTGCTGAGCGGAGCGTCCGCGCACGTGGTGGCGTCCGCGTGGCGAGTGTTCGATGGCAGCTTCGACCTCGGAGTTCCCCTTGATGGCTCAGGGCCTCGGGTCCTCAGGCCGCCGCCGCCGACGGTGCACTGGGAGTTCGAGCTGCGCCCTGGAGGTTGCCTGGAGGGCGCCGCTCTCGACCGCCTCGGGAGCGCCTTCGGCACGGCCGTCCTCATGATCCAGAGCGTGTGGCCAGGAGTTGGCCGGTTTTCTTCGTCGAGTGTACCTTCATGGGCTGCAGTAGTCAAGCCATGTGGTCGATGGTCTCAACGAGTTTCAACAGCTTTGACGGCGCCATCGTCAACCAGTGTACGCAGGCAAGGAGGTTTTGTGCGGCGCAGGTCCACTGGCCCCAGGGGGCGGTTACACACAACGGGGCCTGTCGGATGAGGTCGGCTGGCAGTCGGTCCGAACCGTGGCTGCAGGGCCGCAAAGGAGGAGCCTGTCCGCCGAACGCTGTCGCTGGTTTTGCGCCGTCCGCCGCTGTTGGTCCCACGGCCGTCAGTATCGGTGAGGCGCCCCCGCTTGGCGCCTCTGCAGCTGGCGGCTCAGTCCCCACGTCGCACGTCGCCGTGAAGAGGACGATCAATGAGCCGAGGGAGAAGCTGCTTCGCAAGAACGGTTTCGGCCACGCCCTGGCCGCCCGTGTTGAGTCGGCGTTGTCAGGCGGCGGCCTGCGCCGTCGGAAGAGGAGGCGGCCCCGGGACCGCGACGACAGCGACTCAGAGTCAAGTTTTGGCAGCCCCTCCCACGTCGTTGCAGGCCGTCGGATACTTCATCTTGTCCGCGGGCAACCGAGAGCGTCGTTCTCGTGCGGAGTTGAGGCGGCCATTCGCTATCTGGCGCGGCGTCCAGGGGCGGCCCGCGGAGAGAGTCTGAGTGAGTTGGCCGCGTCGATGGCGCAGAGCATCGTGGGCGCGCGGGGCAGCCATCAACGTCAGAGCGAGGTGGAGTTCCACAGCGTGCGCGAGAGGGGGGCGGCGGGCGCTCGCCTGGACGCGCTCGTGAAAGGAGAGCTTGATCACCGCGGCGACTTGCTGATGCAGCGGCTGCTGGTCATCGAGCAAGCGACGAAGGACGGTTGCGGTCAGGTGGCCCAGCACCTCGAGCTTCGCGACGACTTCGGCGCGGGCCTCGCGCAGCGGGCGGCGATGCACAACGCGGTCTCTCGACGCAGGGGCCGCGCGGGTTGAGGGGGGGCCGGCGGCGCCTTCTGGGATGTGGTTACTGCGAATGCTGCGCATTGGGCTCCGCGACGCGCGCCTCGCGCGCTGCGCTGTTCCCGATGAAGAGATGGCCGATGCTGGGGGCGCCGATCAAGTTCCATATGAGGCGACTCCGCCAGCGACCGATCGGAGGGGGCGGCGAGGCCAACTGCCGCTGCCGATCGCGACGCGTCCGTGCGCCGGCGCTCCTGGCCGCGGAGGCCGCGAGGGGGCGGGCGCCGAGCGCCCCTGTGCCTCGCGTGAGGAGCTGCGCTGGCTCAGCGAGATCGTGGAGAGCCTCGGCGATGACTGCGCTGGAAGTTCGCCCCCAAGTCGAAACAATCGGCTGCTCCACGTCTTGCCTCGCACAACTTGGCGATCGAAGTGCGAGCTTCCCCGCGGCAGTGCGAGGGCAGCGGCGTCCCCGAGCTCGATCTGGAACTCGCGCTCGCACCGGCAGCCGCCAGCCCCGACGGCGAGGAGGGCCTCCCCGCCGAGCCTCTCGAGCTCGCGCGGCGGCTGGGGGCCTTTCCCCTTATTGCGCGCGCGGCAGCGCGGGCCGCCGCGGTCGTCGAGGGCCGGGTTCAGGAGGGGCTGCCGGAGCCCGGCGCGGTGCTCAGAGACTTCGACGCCGCTGATGCCTTTCCGCCCATTCCAGAGGCCCGGGCCCTGGACAAGAAGTGAGCGCCGTTTGCCGGCGGCTTGCCAGCTACATGCAGTGAGAGATCTCCGAGGTCAAGGGCAGAGAGATCATGGGGGGCCCCGTCGGCGCGAGAAAGGGCTGGCTCGCCAAGGGCGCGGGCCCGCCGCGCCTGGTGGCGGGCGCCATCCCGCCCGAACGCCTCCAGGCCGCGATCGAGGGCGTCGCGCCGATGCTGCCCCGCAGCGAAGAGTGGGGGAGCTGCGCCCCGCACTCGGGAGAGGTGCTTCTGTGGGGCAGCGAGGACATGATGCGCGAGTTCCGCGTCTACAGCTTGAGCAACGACTGGATGTCCCCCATGTTTCTGCCCGGGCCTTTGCGCGGCGCAATTGTTGATCTGCCTGGGGGCGGGGTGGCGCGCTTGGCCGCCGCCGTCGCCCCCGCGGGCTGGTTCGCGCCCGCGCGTTCGGCATCTGCCCACTGGGGGCGAGCCTCGAAAGGGCGATCCTCGTCTGCCTTCGAGGCGCCGCGGCCCGGCGGCCCAGGGGGAGAGCGACGCGCGCGCCGAGGGCAGCCTGGCCCCCGCGCGCAGCCACCTGGGCACCGCGCGCGACGACGGCGGGCCCGAGGTGCGTATTGGCCGCGGCTCGCCGCGCCTGGTCCTGGCCGCCTCATCTCGGCGGAACCCCGCGCCCGTTCGGGCGGCGGGCAGCCGTCGCTGGGCCGTCGTAGAGCTCGAGCGCTCCACTTCGTCAACTCACCCAGCCTGTTGGGTGACTTGGCGCACCTCGCTGGATGTCGTCTCATGTGCCACTGCCGGGAACGCCGGGGCCCGCCGCGAAGATGCCGCCGTCGGCGAGTGGTGCGAGCGGCGGCCTGCCTCTCCTGCGTGGAAGGTCAGACCGTGGTGCGTCGCCAGCTTGGACATGTTGGAGGCGACTGACTGGTGGCGCGCGGGGCGCCTTCATGCCGACGGGGTCGGCGACGTGATCTACGGCGCCCAGGGTCGCTGCGAGGGGTTCAGAGTGCTCCGCAGCGAGGACAAGTCGGTCAAGAGGGCCCGCCAGACCCAGTCGCTCGGACAAACCGATCGACGGAGAGCTCGAGAGCATCGGGCCTCCGCTCCCGTTCGTGCCGCGCTAATTCTCGCTCGCTTTCGCGACCTTCAGGCGGCCGCAGGTGATTCAGAGGTGGATGCGGACCTTGGTGGACCGCTGGGTGCGCTGCCCGTGGCCTGGTCGAGAGTCGATGATGTGCTTTTCGTCCCAAGCGCACTTTCTCGCCCGCTTCCGCGGCGTTGCTCCGCCGCCGCTAACTGTGCGCCAGGAGCTGATGTCAGCGCTGGCCGCGATGCCGATGTTGAAGCGCGACCTGCGGGCGCTTTGCAGCAGGTTGGTGGCGATGTCGGACGCCGGCGCGCAGCGTGGGATCGCGCTCCGCGCGGCGCGACTTCGTCCTGTGGGGGCGGGCGCGGCCCGTGCCGCCAACGGCCGCCTGGGCGCCGATCTCCACGACGTGGTCATGTTGATGTTCTTGCTCGACGGGATGGGCTGCGCGCGGTGGGCGCTGGACCCCCTGGAACTGATGCCCGCCCTCTTCGTGGCATCGGAGACCGGTTCAAAGGCCGAGCGGGCGGCGAAGCACGCCTGTTCGGGCGACGTGGGGACTCGCAGCGCGAGCAGCTTCGGCAGCTTCGGCAAGGCAGAGGCCATCGCCGCAGGCAAGCTCGCGCCGCGCGCCGAGTGGGCCGTCATCTTCCGAGGTGGCCCCAGCGCCGACATTTACAGGATCGCTCTTGAACGGCAAGCTTTGTCTGGTCGCATGCCTCGGCCACACTGCGAGATCCTGCGAGTGCGAGGCGTCGCCTTGGTCGCGATGGCCCAGGCGCACTGGGTCCTGGGCCTCGTCGAGAGCGTCGCGTCCGCGGACCGCGGGCCTCCTGAGATCGTGGCCGAGCGCCTCGGGCGCCACCGCGCGTGCATCGACGCCGGCTCCATCTCCCACTGCAGGCGCTCTCCTTGGCCCCGTGGGAGGGGTCGTCGCGAATCGTCGGCGGCGCGAGGCGGGTCTCGATCCCAGGAGGCTTTGGCGCTGCTGCGTTGTGGCTGGCGGTTGGCTTGCAGCAGGCGGGCGGCGTCGGTGAGAAGATTCGCTTGCCTAGATTTGCGCAGCGCAATCCCTGTCGAGCTCCTGTTCAGCTTCCCGGCGATCTTGGCGCCTGCTCTCAACCGAAGCCCCGCAGGCGCGAGGACTTCGAACGCTGTCGCGCGCCCTCTCAGCTCGGGGGCATCAAATGCATCGAGGAGGCTTCAGAAGACCAGAGGGCGCTCAACAGCTTGGAGCGGGAGTTTAGCCATTGTGCCCTGCAAGGCAGCAACTTCCCGTGTTCCGTAGTTTCCTGGACACTAGTACGCTGGGCGGTGAGGGCCGGCTGCGTGGCCCACTCTCCCCCCATCGAGGCGATGTGCCTGACGTTGGACGAAGCCGCGCTTGAGGGCGCGGCGGCGCAGCTGGGGAGCGTTTGAAGGAGAACGTGGCCCTTGTGAGTCAGTGCGTCCTGGAGAATGCGAACCGGCGAGGGGGCCTCTTCCATCGCGAGGATCGCCGAGCTGATGATGCGGGCCGAGACGAGAAAAGAGCGATGCCCACCTGCGCACTTTCGCGGGGATGCAGCCTGGCCCGTGGCCGCATCGCCCCACCGACCGGGAGCCGCGGCGCGCCTCTGCGGCATGCCAGTGGAAGCGCCCGTCGCACATCGCAGAGAAGGTAAGCGTCTTGCTGGGCGCGCCTCGCTGGTGGCCCCGATCGTCTCATCATCTTTTGGTGATATTTTGCCACTTAGTGGGGTCTCAAGCTGGCCTAGGACAGTCCCCGGGTCTTACCTCATCACGAGTACTGCGTGTAACCATGCGATGCATGAGGGCTTCTGTCCTTGGCGCTCTCGCCCGTGCTGTCTACGGTTACACTGAGGCCTACCGCAACCCAGCAGAGAACCCTTCCAGAGCTGAGGCAGTCATCGACAGAGGGTCAACCGACACGCCGTTTGCTACGAGCCGTGGTGGATCGCCCGTCGCTTGCCTTGGTGTAGCCAATGCTGAGTCATCACGCTGCAGTTCGTCCGTTTTCTCGCCAATCGTAGTCTATCCTGGACCACTGATGCTTATCATACAGATGAGCTGGGCCTGCTCTGTTCAAAGCTTTGTGGCGGCTGCTTTGGGCATGGCAGAGTTTGAGCCGCGTCAACGAGGGCCGCCTTTGCTATGACTGGTGCTGTTGGCGATGACCATCACCGCGTGCGGCTGGGGCCGCAACAACGTCGCAATCTTGCTGATCGTCGCTTTTGCCGCAGTCTGGTGGGCGACCAGCTGGTGCAATCTTCCAGTGGCAGCTGGCCTGCGTCGAGGCCCGCTCACGATTTGCCGTGCAGCTGCCCGTGACAGAAAGTGGCCTGCGCCTTCCCCGGCAGAGGAGCGGGCTCGTGGTACTCCAGTGTCGTTCGTTGGGCAGCATTCCCTGTGGCTTCGCTGTCGCCCAAGTGGCCGATCCTCCATTCACCCGTCCAGAATTCATGTGTGCCAGCTTGTGGCATATGATATAAAGTATTCTCCACAACGAGCCTGGAGCTATGAGACGGTAAACCAGCTATGGGTGTCGTGGAAGAGCTCTTTCAAATGGGGCCCCCTTCGGCTTCGCCGAGCCTCACCAGCGCCTGCACCGCCAGGCCGCTGGCGGACCCCGTCGGATCCCACACCAGTTTTCTGGCATCTCAGGGGCGGGCGGGTGCCTTGGGTGGCCCTTCGGGGGCCCGCGCGCAAGGTCGTGGGGGTCAGGTTCGCTTGGGCTTGCTGGCGCTGGTAGAAGTGTGGTCCACCGAGGAGGGGAGGTGGGCCAACGAGTCCTGGCCTCCCCTCCCCGCGGCCTTCGGGGCCTAGCTTTGGCAAGCCTCCTGCTGGAGTGGCGTAGAAAGAAGTCCTGGGCAAGACGGGATCAGAAACATGTTTATGTGCATGTGTGTATGCATGTATGTATGTATCTATGTATGTATGCATGCATAAGTGCATGCGCGCAGGTATGTATGTATGTATGTATGTATGCATGTATGCATGTATGCATGTATGCATGTATGCATGTATTTATGTGTGTATATGTATGTATGTATGTACGTGTTTCTGTGTGTATGTATGTATGTGTGTATGCGTGGACGTGTGTAAGTGTATGTGTACGTGCATGTGTGCATGTATGCGTGCCCGCCGGCCTGCATATGTGGATGGATGTACGTATGTGTGTAAATATGTATGTATCGATGTATGTATGTGTGTGTCTGTCTGTTTGTTTGTCTCTCTATATGTATGCGTTTATGTCAGAATGAGGGGGTTGAACCGATCAGTCATTCATTGTCCCTGGGTGCGTGGCTGAAGTGGAATTCCGCGATGCGGATTCTTGTTGTTGTTGTTGGTGGTGGTGGTGTTGTTGTTGTTGTTGTTTGTTGTTGTTGTTGTTGTTGTTGTTATTGTTGTTTGTTGTTGTTGTTGTTGTTGTTGTTGTTGTCGTCGTCCCACCCGCGACCCGCCCCGCGACCCACCCGCGATCCACCCCGCGACCCATCCGCGACCCATCCGCGACCAACCCCGCGACCCACCCCGCAACCCACCCCGCGACCCACCCCGCGACCCACTCGCGACACACGCGCGACCCACCCGCGACCCACCCCGCGACCCGCCCGCGACCCACCCCGAGACCCCCCCGGCGACCAACCCGCGACCCACCCCGAGACCCCCCCGGCGACCACCCCGCGACCCACCCCGCGACCCACCCGCGACCCACCCGCGACCCACCCGCGACCCACCCGCGACCCACCGCGACCTACGCGCGACCCACCCGCGACCCACCCCGCGACCCACCCAAAATTTTCGGCGCCCCACCCGCGAACCACCGCGACCCACCCGCGACCCACCCCGCGACCCACCCAAAATTTTCGGCGCTTGCGGCGGGCTTCTTTTGCATTCGTTCCAGGCGGCCATCCGCGATCGAAACTGCGTTCAGTGTACAAATCAAAATGTTCGGCGCCTGCG